GCTCGGTTTCTAACCTGTGTAGATCTTTCTGAGCTATCCCTAGGTACGACGATGAAGACCATCTTCGCCGACCCCGACGACATCCTGAACTTCACGCTCGAAGTCAAGCCGGACGAGGGCATTTACCACGGAGGGCGGTTTACTTTCACGTTTACCATGGGCCCCAACTACCCCCACGAGCCGCCCAAGGTGCGCTGCCAACAGAAGATATACCACCCCAACATCGACGTCGAGGGCAAGATCTGCCTCAACATCCTGCGCGAAGACTGGAAGCCGGTCCTAAACCTGAACGCCGTTATTGTCGGCCTGCAGTTCTTGTTCCTTGAGCCTAATGCGTCCGATCCCCTCAACAAGGAAGCCGCCGACGACCTGCGATCAAGCCGGGAAAACTTCCGTCGCAACGTACGAGCATCCATGACCGGTGGCTCGATACGCGGGGTTCAGTACGACCGTGTAGTCTTCACCAAGGGTTAATAAGATGAAACATAGACGGAACCTCGGCTATTACTAAGTATACAAATGGGCCCGAGTTCCAAAAGCACCGCTACAGAAGGAATATTGTTTCCTTCGGGTAGAAGGCATACTTCGAGGCTCTTTACGTTCGATTTACGAGAGGAAGACGAGGCTAGGAGAAGAAGCCAAAGATGGGCTCTGCAAATTACACATAGCAAGGCGTTTTCGCGGGGTCATATCCATTTTAGGACTCTCTGGAGACTACCAATACCCGTCTCTACTGTTGACTTGGCGAGGATGATGCATAAGGCAACCAGACGTAACTCTGGTCCTGTCTTGGGTGGCATTTTAGCGGTGCACGGCATATCTACCTACCTCGTAATAGAGGAGTGATTTGTACTACCCGTATAGTTAGATGCTAGCCCGATAAATGCAACATGATATGCTCTACCACCTCTGCTGTGTGGGATTTGGCAATGCGTTAAGTTTCCAATAATCAGTGTGCCTAATATTGACCATGGACATACAGGTTATACGTACTTCCTACATAGTATGTTGATATTGAAGTCGTCAATGGGTCACCGCCTGTTGAAAACGTGTTTTGCTCTGTTCCTTGCTTAACCGTGCTTAGGTAATACCTAGGTAGATTAGTATCTATACACTCTGGCTCCGCAGGGCTAGTATAGGCGTTGATACCTAGGTACCTAAGTACCTACTACGGTACAAATACCGCCTACCCTGCCCTGCTGTACCCCAGGCTGGCCGGACCGGCCATATGCCCCACCATAGGCCTGCCGACAGCGACTCACCGCCGAAGTCGCACCCCAAGCTCAATTCCACACTTTTTTTTTTTTTTGCAGCTCTCCCGGGACCCTGGAAAAAAATTAGGAAAAATTCTGACTGATATACAAAAAAAGGGCCAGGCGCTTCTTAGCAGGACTACCCATTGACTTCCATTTCCCTTCTCCTTCCCCACTCAGTTCCTACTTCACGATGGCTTCAAGAGGATTTTCCAAGGCTCTGCGCAGCCAATTGGCCCGCCGTGTGGCCTCCCCTGCCGTCCAGAGCCGCAGCTTCGTTGCCGCGTCCAACCTCGTCCGAGCTACCCCCAAGGCTCGCCCTGCCCTTGCTGGTGCCGTGCATCAGCAGGTCCGCGGTGTCAAGACCATTGACTTCGCTGGAACGCCCGAGGAGGTCTTCGGTGAGACTCAATTGGTCGGCATATAGGTGACATTCAGCTTACACTGTCTTTTATAGAGCGTGCCGACTGGCCCAAGGAGAAGCTCTTGGTGAGTCTTAGCCAATTCGAACCACCGGATTTTAAGACAAACCGCAAAAGAAAAGACAACTAATATCTTCTTCAGGACTACTTCAAGAACGATACCCTCGCCCTTATCGGCTACGGCTCCCAAGGCCACGGCCAGGGTCTCAACCTCCGTGACAACGGCCTAAACGTTATCATCGGTGTCCGAAAGAACGGCCAATCGTGGAAGGATGCTCAGCAGGATGGCTGGGTTCCCGGCAAGAACCTCTTTGAGGTTGACGAGGCCATTTCTAAGGGTACCATCGTCATGAACCTTCTCAGTGATGCTGCCCAGAGCGAGACGTGGCCCGCCATCAAGCCCCAATTGACCAAGGGCAAGGTACGCTAGTATGAGTCATAATATTCGCAAGCAAAGCACCTAACAGTTGGCAGACTCTATACTTCTCCCACGGTTTCTCCCCTGTCTTCAAGGACGTTACCAAGGTCGATGTTCCCAAGGACATCGATGTCATCCTCGTCGCGCCTAAGGGATCCGGCCGTACCGTCCGATCGCTCTTCCGTGAGGGCCGTGGTATCAACTCCTCCTACGCCGTTTTCCAGGATGTTACCGGCAAGGCCGAGGAGAAGGCTCAGGCCCTCGGTGTTGCCGTTGGCAGTGGGTACCTCTACAAGACCACCTTCGAGAAGGAGGTGTACTCCGACCTGTACGGTGAGCGTGGCTGCCTGATGGGTGGTATCCACGGTATGTTCCTGGCCCAGTACGAGGTTCTCCGAGAACGCGGCCACAGCCCCAGCGAGGCCTTCAACGAGACCGTCGAGGAGGCCACCCAGAGCTTATACCCCCTGATTGGCGCCAACGGCATGGACTGGATGTACGAGGCCTGCTCGACCACGGCGCGACGAGGTGCCATCGACTGGACCCCGCGATTCAAGGACGCCCTAAAGCCCGTCTTCAACCAGCTGTACGACTCGGTAAAGGACGGCAGCGAGACGAAGCGATCGCTCGAGTACAACGGCCAGAAGGATTACCGACAGAAGTTTGAGGCGGAGATGGAAGAGATCCGCAACATGGAGATCTGGAAGGCCGGCAAGGCCGTAAGGTAAGAAGTACCAAAAATACTCTAGTATTGATAACAGTGCAGTGGTTGCTAATTTGATCGTCATCACAGATCTCTCCGCCCCGAGAACCAAAAATAAGTACCTATAGCATATAAATAAATCCAAAAATTATCGGAACGGTATATTAAAACGGCGTAGGGCACATATTCCCCGGGCGGCAAAAGGAAGAGCTTTTGTATTTGTATTCGGGATTCGCCCCAGTCAGTTTCCATGAAGATCTATGAGGATATGATACAAAAGTCATCCCAAATGAAATTTCTCTGAACCCTTTCATGACCATTCTACGTCGTAATAGTTGTTTGCTTGCTTGCGGATACTGTTGTCCGGGTGGCTTCCGTCTCCGTTATCGGTCACTGATAACAAATCGTAGACTTTTAACTATCTCTATCTCTATCTCTATCTCTATCTCTATCTGGTTTTGAAACTAGATTCAATCATTCGCAAGGTGTGGTATACTTGCGCACTTTGCCATTTTCTTCAGCGTAACCCTAGTTAGTTAGGAGGCCGTTCGGATCTGGCCAATCATATCCCAACCTCTAGCTGTATCATTGATTTGACCTTCCACTCGCTTTCTTATCGACAGTTACCGGGCTCTCGCTGCCAACCTTCAAACCTAATACCCCTCCCTTATTTACCTACCTACCTCCCCCCCCGCCGGGGCGCCCCCGCCCCGGGGGGCGGGGGGGGGGGGGGGCGGGGCCCCGCGGGGCCCCGGCGCGCGGGGGGCGGGCGGGCGG